AAACAAAACAAGGAGGGGAGGGGGAGCAGTGGGGGGGAAGGGGGGGTGGAACACAACAAGTGGAGCTGGGAAGGGGGGGGTAGGGGGGGTGCACAGGTGCCGCAGGGCCCCCCCTCTCCCCCACACCCCCACCCCAAAGGAGACCAACGCTTAAATAACATCCAGACAGTCATAAAAAAATACTGAAGCTGGGGGGAAAGGAGTTCCTCGAGGGGGGGGGTCCTTCGGGGGCGGGGTCCTCAGCCGCGGTGGGTGGGGGGGCTCACTGTGTGGGGGGGACGGGGGTGGCCGTGCTGGGGCTGGGAGCGATGGGGTCCGTCTGCAGGGGGGGGCCTTGATCTGTATGAAGAGAAACAGAAAGAATTGTGGGGGGGGTCGCATCCCGATGCGGGGGGTGCGAGGTACTGCGTGCCCCTCTGCCCACGGAAGGGATGAGCGAGCCTCCCCCCGGCCCGGCACCCAAACCCAGCATCCATCCCGATGTGCGTGGGGGGGGGTCCCCCCGCCTCGAACTCCATCCCCCCCCCGCCCCGATGTCTCACCTGCGAGCAGCCCAGGGGTGGGAAGGAGGCTCCCCTGCACGGCGGCCACGATGGCGGGGCTGTGCGCGGCGGGCGAGCCCCCCCCCAGCAACGGCAAGGCCAGGCCGGGTGGGTGAGGAGGGGGGGGGGGCAGCCCCCCGGGCGGCATGCTGCTGGCCAGGGCCCCATGCAGCGGGAGGGCGGGCGGGTTAGCGGGGAAAGTGGTGGCGATGGAGTCGGCGAGGGGGTTAGCCATGCTCAATGGGATGGCGGATGGAGGCGGAGCGAAGGGCAGCGCCGTGGGCGCATTACCGGGCACGGAGGGGTGGCCGCTGCCACCCAGGTTCCCCCCCAGGCTCTGAGACGGCGGCTGCTGCCCGGGGAACGGCACCGGGGCTGCGGGAGAGAGGATGTGTGATGGGGAGGGGGAGGTCAGCATCCAGCGCACAGCCTGAGCCCACCTGAGTGGAGCATCAGCACTGAGCTCCGTGCTGTGCCACCCCCTCAAGCCCCCGCCATTCGAGGTGGCAGCATTAGCACCGAGCCCCCCATGCTGTGCCCCCCCCTCAAATGGATGGCAGCATCAGTACTGATCCTTGTGCTGCGCCCCCCCCTCCCCAAAATGGATGGGAGCATCAGCATTGAGCCCCATGCTGTGCTGCCTCCAATGCTGTGCCCCCCCCATGCTGTGCCCCCCCCTCAAATGGATGGCGACATCAATACTGAGCTCTGTGCTGTGCCCCCCCCCATACAAAAAAACACATGGCAGCATCAGCATTGAGCCCCATGCTGTGCCCCCCACCCTTAAACCCCTCATATAGATGGCACCACAATGCTCAGCCCTATCCCGTGCCCCCCCCGCGCCCTCCAACAGCCGGGACCACCACCCCCACTACACAACCCCCTCCCCCTTCCCCCCCCCCCAGCACCCACTGACCGTGCGGGATGGCCGGGCCGGGCTGCGCTGCTCCTGGCGGCGGGGGGGGCTGCGGGGGGGGAACCCCAGGCATCAGCTGCCCCCCCGGCTCAGCGGGGGCCACCATGGCTGGGGTGGGCGGCGCTGCCAGCGGGTGGGCGGCGGGGGCCAGGGGGGTTCCTGCGGTGGGCAGAGGCTGAGCGCCGGGGGGCAGCGGGGGGGGCTGCTGCTGCTGCTGCTGCTGCAGGTGCTGGAAGTGCTGCTGGCGGGCGCGCATCTCGGCGTATTTCAGCTGCTCCATATGGAAGGCCTGGCGGTCGGCCAGCAGCTGCTGCCGCTGGTATTCCAGCTGGGAGGGGGGAGCGGGGTCAGCGAGGTGTCACGGCGCGGGTCGGCCCCCCTTTACAGTCCCCAATTCCCCCCCCTCACCGCCTCCCGCTCGCGGTCCATGATGGTCTCCAGCTCCTCGAAGTGCCGCAGTTTGATCTCCAGTTTCTTCATCTGCGTCTCCACCAGCAGAGCCACCAGAGATTTGATCTTACGCTCCTCCACGGCCGCCAGGTGCTGCAGGGACGGGACGGGATGGGAGATCACAGCCTGCCCCCCCCGCCCTTCCCAGCCCCCCCCACCCCGATCCTCACCTTGGCCTTCACAGCAGCGGCCGCCAGCGCAGCAGCAGCAGCAGTGGAGAGGTTCCCTTCGCCGATGTCGCGCTCCACTTTGGCTTTGCGCTCAGCTTCGGGCTCCGGTGGCTCCTTAGGAGTCTCCTCCTGCGTCTCCTTCGCCTCCTTCTCCTTCTCCAGCTCCCCTGGAGTGTGGGGCAGCTGGGCGGTCCATGGGGGGCAGCCATAGGGGCTGACCCCCCCCACGTCCCCATCCGGACCCCACTCACCCGTGCTGTCGCTGTCGCCCTTCTCCGCCTCCTTCTCACCCTCGGGCTCTTTGCTCTTCTCCTCCTCCTTCTTGGCCACGTCCCCCACTTTCTCCTTCACCTCCTCCTCAGCAGTGCTGTCACGCGGCTCCTGGGGGGGGGTCCAACGGTGGTTTGTCCCCACGTGAGGCCTCATCCTGACCCCCGACCCCCCACCCCCGCTACCTTCACCTCCTTTTTCTCCTCCACCGGCGCCGTCTCTGCGCGTGTTTCCTCCGCACCGCTCTCCTCTGGGGCAGACAGAAGCACGAGGTGACCCCCCCCCCCCCCCCCCCCCCCCCCCCCCCCCCCCCCCCCCCCCCCCACATGCACCCAGCTCACCACAGCCCCCCCCCCGCCCCCGGTACCGATCCGTTCTGGCTCCTCCGAGGCGGTGCCGGCGATGCCGCTGCTCTCCAGCCCGAACGCGGGGTCGGCTTTGCCCGTCACCTTGGCAGCCTCCTCCACCTTACGGACGTGAGCTTCCACCAACGCCGTGGGCACCTCCTCCTTCATCTTGGAGAACTCCTCTGCGTTTGGGGCAGCACCCTGTCAGCCACCCGGGGGGGGGACAAAGAGAGGCGGCCCCCCCCAGCCATCCCCTCTTGTCTCCAGCAGCCACAGTGCAGCTCCCCTCACCCCCATGGCCCTGAGCAGGCGATGCTGCCCGGCCCCTTCTACACCCATTGCCCCCCATGTTGTGCCCATCCACCCCCAGCCTGCAGTCCCCCCCCGACCCCCTTACCCAGCGCCGATTTAGCAGCAGCAGAGGCGACACGGGGGTCAACGACGGAGGCCAGGAAGGCGACGGTGCTCATGACAGGGTTACCAGACTGGCTGAAGGGGATGGGCTGATACGCCAGCGGCCCCAGCGACGCCTCCGAGTCCTCCAGGTAGGGGTCCTCGATGGGCAGGCGCAGGAAATGCAGGATGCACTCGTCCTGCGTGCGGCTGCCCACGTGCTCCGACACCTTGTTCCAGTCATCCTTGTACATCTCCAGAGCCTGGGGGTGGGCAGGTGGTGCTCAGTGGGGCTGGGTGGTCGTGGTCACCCCTGTCCCCAACCCGGGAGCTCGGATCCCCAGCTCACCTCCAGCAGCAGCAGCGTCTCCTGCTCCGTCCATTCCCTCGTTGCGCTGGCAGCAGCTTTGCTCTGCGGTGGGGAGAGCGGAGTGAGCGGCGTGGTGGGGCGGGGGGGCGCGGGGGGGCTGGCACCCACCTTGGAGGGGATGTTCTTCTTGGTGTACATGTCGGTGCGCAGCCCGAAGTTCTGCATGTCGGCCGGCTTCTCCTTGCTCTTGTCGGGGAAGTTCAGCATCTGCTGCGAGGCCGAGCTCTGCTGCTGGAAGGAGAGCAGACGCTGGGGACGCAGCCGATGGGGAAGGCGCAGCCCACGAGGACGCCGCATCCCCCCCCCGCTCCCCCCGCCCATCTGTCCGCTCCCAGAGACGCCGTCGTGCCCCCATCTCGTCACGGTGTCCCCCCCGCGTCCCTGCTCCCCAGGGCAGGGCGGCATGCGGGGCGCGAGGGGGAGGAGGGAAGGAGCCTTCCTCGGCCAGCGGCGGGGGCCGCGCCCCACGTAGCCGCCTACCAGCTCCGGCTTCCCTTTCACCGACTCGGTGACGAGGTCTTCGATCTCTTTGCTCTTGCGGCCGGTCTTGGCGTCGCCATCGCTCTGCCGGCCCTGAGGCACAGACAAGGCTGTGCTCAGCCCCCCCCCCCAGCACCCAGGGAAGGCGGACGGGACGCGGACGCGGCGGGACCCCCCCACGTGCACCCACCTGCGGCGTCTTGGGCTGCAGAGGCACCAAACCGGAGGGCGTATCGGCCAGCACGTGGAAATGGGAGGTGGGCGGGGGGCCCATGGGGGTGGGCCGGCTCTCGGCGTCCACCTGGTAGTTGATGAGGCCCCATTGCTCCAGGAAGGCGTGCACCCTGTGGGGAGGGGGGTCAGAGAGGGGGGTCCGTGCGGGGCCGCGCCGCCGTGGGGCCGAACCCAAACCCACCTCATGATGGCGCAGACGTCGCCAGCCAGGTTGCGGCGGCAGGCGGTGGAGGTGAGGTACTCCTGGGGGTTCAGGCGGTACGTGTCTATCATGAAGTTGCGGTACGCCAGGTAGCTGAGGCAGAAAGGAGGCCGTCAGAGCGGCCACGGGGAGGCGAGGGGCAGCGGAAGGGATGGAGGGGGGCTCAGCCTCACATCTCGGGGGTTTTGGATTTGTTCTTGCCGTTGAAGAACTCAGGCAGGGCTCGGCGCTCGATGGCGTGGACGCTGCGGGATAAAAGGCGGGGGGGGCTCACACTGCTGTGCTGGGGGGGCACCACTGCAGCATTACGAGCTCTGTACCTGTTGTAGTCGAACCACGCGGCGTAGCTGGGGATGATGATGTGGTGGGTCTGCTCTGTCACGTTGTCCTCGTGCAGGTCGGGGTTCTTGGCCTGCTCCCCTTTGCTCCCGGTGCCGTTCTCCTCCTCGTCCTGTGGGACAGCGGGGCTGTGAGCACTCCCCCGCACCCTCAGTGAGCACCGTGGGATCACAGCATAGTTTGGGGCAAAAAGAGCCTTAAGGATCATCCAGATAATGAAGATCAGTTGTGAGATCAGGGCACTCACAGCCCCGTAAGACCTGGGCTGGAGCCCCCCCACAAAGTGCAAACAGAGACCTTTCCATCTCCAGAAAGAGACAAGGAAAGAACAGACAGGCATGCTGTGGTGGTTTCTAGGAGGGGAAAAGGGTCATTGGAGGAACGTGGGAACAGGAAGAAGAAATGACACACCGAGGGCCAGCACAGCTCTGCAGCCTCACCTTGCCAGCTGTCTCCATGCTCTCATCCTCCTGCTCATCTGGAAGAGAGCACAGAGGGGGCAGTTTGGGCACCGCTGGCTCAGCAGCACCAGGAACCGCCTGCAGCGCCCAGCCCAGAGCAGCTCGGCTCACCCAGGTCCGTCATGGTGCCTCCCTTAACGGGCGCAGACTCTGAGTCCTTCTTGGTGTTGACTGCAACAGAGGAAGAACACACTGAGCACTGCACTGAGGGGATGGGGTGGCCCCATGGGGGGGCTGCCAGCCCCCACCTGTTTTGGGCAGGGTGACCTCCTCCACGTTGGGGACGGGTGAGGGTTCATCCATGTCCTTGGTCAGGTCCTCCTGCTCCTCCTCACGGTGCCCACGCTTGGATTTGTTGTAGGGGGTGGAGGGTCTGTAAAGAGCAGAGCTCCTGCTGTCAGCACTGCTGGGCTCCCACAGCCCTGGGCAGCCCCGACCCTGCTGCCCTCCTGTGGCCCCCATCCCACTCACCCCTTCTTTGCGTTTTTCTTCTTGGCCTCTGGAGTGGGTGAAGGTGAGGGTGAGCGCTTTCTCTTCTTGTAGTTGCCTCCCTTCTTGTCCCGCCGGTCCGAGTCAGGGCTGTTCACCTATAGGGGGCCCGGGAGCAGCGTCATGAGCCACAGGTTCCAGACCAGAACCTGCCCTGGGACAGAGACCCCTTCTGGGGAAACTGTTCCCTGACCTCATCTGTCAGGGTCTTTGCTGAGATCTTCTTCCTGCGGGCAACGGGGCTCTTCTCATCAGACACCTCGTAGTCCTCCTCGTTCATCCACTCGTTGAAGGTGTCCGTGTCCAGGATCCACTTGGCGTGGACCTGCATGCAAGGGAGCAAGCAAGTCAGGGACACCGATGGTGGGCAGGGGAGGGGGCTGAGGGTCCTCATCACCTTCCGGGGCTTCTCTGGCGTCGGGGCGTCCTCCACAGAGGCCTCAATCTCACTGGCTGGGATCCAGGTGTCGTAGCTGTAATAACAGAGGCAGTGGGTGAGCAGATGCCCCAGCTCCAGCCATGTGCCTTCACCCCAAAATAGTGGCAGCCCCCAAGACCCCTCACCTGTCGGGGTAGTAACCCCAGTGCAGCAGGACCTGCTTGTCTCGCTTCATGACCGGCCGGACCCACTCCTCTATGAGGGACACAAAGAGGGGACAGTGCTGCACCTGCCCCACTGATGGAGCAGCCCTATGCACAGCCCTGGCTCCCAGCAACATCCCCCTCTCCCCTGCCCTCCCAGGGTGATTCTCCTTAAGCTCTGAGCGGAGGAGCTCAGATTGCACCTCCTGCATTGCACCCACCTTCCTCCAAGTTCCCAGGGACGGGGCAGACAACGTGGGACGCGTTGCTCTTGTCCTCAGTCACCGTGCCCTGGGAAAAGAGGAGGGAGCACAGGGCTGAGCACCAGGAGGAAGCACTGAATGGGGCCCAGCGTCCCCAGCACCAACACAGAAACCCACCTGGTGCCTCTTGATGATGTCCTTCAGTTTGCTCAGCAGCTTGGGCTCAATCTCCTGGTGCAGGAAGATGTTGGGCCGGGACAGGCAGTTGTTCTGGGGAAGGAAAGCAAAGCATTAAACAGAGCGGGGAGCAAACAGAGGGCGTGGGGACAAGGAAAGGGGAGCAGCTCTCACCTGCACCAGGGATTTCTCGATGGTCATAAACATCTCCACGTTGCGGTCCATCCGCGAGGGATTCTGGAAATCGAAACGCCGCCTTATTGGAAGAAAAGAGCGACTCTCATGAAAGCCACAGCTCCGGTCTCCTCATCAGTCAGCCCCATTCTGCCCAGGGGGGGGGAGGGAGAATGGGACACCCCAGCAGGGCTGCGTGCATGAGATGGGCACCCAACGCACAGCCCAACCCAGGGCCACGACCACCCCCAGTGCCCAAACAGCAGATAAATCTCTGCCCCACATCCCACCCCCCCCATCCCATCGCACCCCATCCCACCCCACGGTGCCGCTCACCATCCTTGGTCGCTCTTGAACTTATAAGCAGCCGCCAGGATGTGGCACAGGGCTCCCCCCGCCTTGAAATCCAGGAAGCATTTGATCTGCAAAGGCAGGGCAGGGCTCGGGGGCTGCCGCGCGCCGCCGGGACACGACCCCTCCGCCGCCGCCCCGCCGCCCCAGGGCGCCGCTCCCAGCCGGGGCGGTGGGCGCTGCGGTGCCGGGACGCCCCCGGAGCCCGGGGGGTTCGCGCGTCCCCGGGGGGCGCCGTCCGCGGGTTGGGGGGCGCCGTCCGCACGCCGCTCCGCGCCGGGCGCTGCGGGGCGGTGCGGGGCTGCGCGGAGCCGGGGGTCGCGGCGCTCTTTGTCCGCCCGCACGCTCACGCACCGGCAGTTTGGTGAGCGGCGCGTTGCTGACGTGCTTCCCGAACACCTCCTCCTGGAACTGCAGCAGCTGCACCACCAGGCTCGACAGCGACTTGTTGGTGGGGGGCTCGGCCTGGATGTACTGCGGGAGGGGGCTCAGCCGCGGGCCCGCTCCGTGCGGGGCGGGGCCGCGGGGCCGGGCGGGGCCGCGCGTTCCGTACCTTCTTGTAGTTCTTGCCGAGCCAAAGGCGGACGTTGTCGAACTGGCTGACGGTGTCCGAGGCCTCGTAGTACTTGACGTTGGGGCCGCCGTCCTTCTTCCGCACCGCCATCTTCCAGCGGGCCGGGCCGCTCCCCGCCGCGCCGCGCCGCAGCGCCCCCTGGCGGCACAACGGGGAACGGGCGCGACGGCGCCCCCTGGCGGCACAACGGGGAGAAGCGTGACAGCGTCCCCTGGCGGCAGAAGGGGAATGGAGGTGACGGCGCCCCCCGGCGGCGGCACAGAGCCGGTGCCCACAGCGCCCCCTGGCGGCGGCACAGGGCTGAGTGTGACGGCGCCCTCTGCCGGCGGGACGCAGCGCGAGGCTTCTAGCGCCCACTTCCGGCACCGCAGCGCAGGCGTTATGGCGTCCCCTCCGGGCGCGTTGCGCACAGCCGGCCCGGCGCTTCTCTCGGCCCCCGCGCGTCGCGGCGCTCCGCCCCCAAAGGCCCGGAAGAGCCGATGGGGGGAGGGGGAGGCGGTCCGGCGGAGCCGCGTTGTGGGCGCGGCGGCTCTAGGCGGAGCGCGGCGGAGGGAGGCGCGGGAGTCACGGTGGCCGAGTGGTTAAGGCGTTGGACTCGAAATCCAATGGGGTTTCCCCGCACAGGTTCGAATCCTGTCCGTGACGGAACGCCCTTTTTACGCAGCGCCGTGGGAAGGCTCTCAGGGCCCTCGGCCGCCGCCATCGCTTTTTTGCGGGGCGGTTCCACACGCGCAGGCCGTGGGGCGGCTGCCGGCCCCGCCTTGGGGCGCTCCCCGCTCCCCTCCTCGAGCCCCGAGCAGCCACAGCCCCGCTACAGAAACCAGAACAGCGTTTATTGATCACTGACCCCCCCGGGGCGGGGGGAGCCCCGGAACCGCACCGTACAGACAGCGGGGGAGGGGAAAGGTCCGTAAAAAAAAAAAAAACAAACGACGAAACGAATGCAAATAAATTAAATTCCCACAGGGTGACCGTGACCGGGGTCAACGCACCCAACCGCGGCACTGCGAAATAAAACGGGGGGGAGACAGGGCAGAAGGCCGAGAAGTACAAAATCATACAGAACCACGATCACGAGTGGCTGCAGAGGAGCAGCAGGGGGGCAGAGGGGGCACAGCGTCGTCCCCCCCGGCCATTGCCAGACCCCCACCCGCTCCCCACCTCCCCTGCGGCTCCCCCTGCCCACGGGTGCCCGGCTCTGCCTTTAGGGTCAATGGGGAAAGAGAGGCCAGGCCGGCCCCCAGGGACAGACACAGCCAAGCACAGGGCAGAAAACACGGAGCACAGGGAGGGGGGCAGCCGGGGGCCGCAGGCACAGCGTGAGCCGGGGGGAGCAGCTTAGGGCTGGAAGTCCATGGGGCTGGAAGCCCAGCAGTACCTGGGGAGCAGCTGGAGCTCCTCTGCCCCCCTGAAGACACCAAGTGGGAAAACGGAGCTGCAGAGGGCAAACGGGGGTGGGCTGGGGTGGAGGCAGCGGTTATGGGGGGGGCGTGGAATCGTTTCAGCCAGGAGGTGCGAGGGAGCAGCACCCAGCAGAGCTGTGAGCAGAGCCCGGCCGCGGGGAGCATCCACCCTGGGCCTCGGCCCCGTCCCCCTCCTCGGCACAAAGCATCGCTCTTCCAACGTCCTTTATATTTCCTCCACTCCGTGTGCAAAGATCATCACCAGCCCCGGCTCCAGCACCATGTCCTCCCCCATGTGCTGGTTCTCGCAGGCCATCACCACCACGGCCTGCTTGCCGGGGATGCGTTTGGCCACGTAGTTCTCGTAGTAACGCCGGTTCATCTGACGAGTCTCCAGCGTCGCCAGGCCCTGCGGCCAGTTCCGCTCGTGGGCGTTCTCAATCAGCTCGTTGATGATGGACGTGGGGCAGCCGCTCTCCACCAGCGAGCGTTTGATGACGGCCTGCAGCACGGCGTCCGGAGTGGAGATCATCCCGCCCCACCGCGTCACACGGGCGGGCTGCAGGGAGTTCACCCACCTGGGGACAGACGCAGGGATAACTCAGTGCCCACCCAACACCAGGAGCTGCTCGAGGGAATGCCAGCTCCTCCCCTCTCTGTTCTAACCCGGCTTAGTTAAGCGGAGCCCTTCCTCCCTCCTAAAGGCAGAGGAAGAAGGAACAGCACCAGGTCCCCTTCCTCCTATCTTTCTCATGAGGAGGAAGGAATGTGGCAGCTTCCTGCTCCTGGACAGGATGCAGGTGGAGGAATCACAAAGGTCAGGATCCATTGTGCAACCCGCTCGTGTGCCACTCCCCAGCACAAACAGCCCGCAGCCACCCTCGTGCTGTGTGACAGGAAGGCACACAAAGTGTTTCCTTCTCCAGCAGCACCTTCACCCCCTCTCAAAGCTGCCTGCGTCCCAGCTCCACTCCCCAGCTCCCAGCGAGCAGCACAAGAGCCAGCACTTACTCCAGGATCTCGTTGTACTCGATGGTCTCCTCCAGGTTCTGCAGGTTGGGGTTGACGCTGCGGATAGCACGCATGTAGGCCTTCAGCAGCTGAATGTCGCGTTTCTAGGAGAGGAAGAACATGGAGGGGGCTGTGGCAGGCAGCAGCACTGCAGCAGGACATCCCAGCATCACTGTTTGTGGCATTTGCTGGGCTCACAGGTAAGACCATGGACCTACCTGCTCTGCCAGCTGATGCTTGTGTTCTGCTGAGGTCTTCTCCAGCTCAGCAATTCTGGTCTGCTGCTGCTGCACCACGGATCTTAAATGCTTGATGCAGTTGTGGTTTGGCAGCTCGTCTTTGGGCATTTCCAAGCTGTGGAGCAACACGAAAAGGTGGGGACCCCACATTATGGAAAAGTGCATACCAGAGCACTTGGTATGAGTGCATAAACAATTTCCAGAACAAATCCAGCACTGGTGAACTCAAGGAGAGGTCCAGGAAGCACTGCAACCTCCAAAAGGTTTAGGAGGGGAAGGCTATGGGAAGAAACCACCACTTGGTCCTTCCTCCCCCAAAGCAGACAGCATTAGGCAGCCCACAGACCTGACCCAAACTGACTCCACCCCAGGAGATCTGACGGTCCTCAAGCCAGCACTGCTGCCTGGCTGGGTGTTTACAGCACCTGAGTGGGCAGAGTATCGGCACTAACTGCACAGCTACCGAGGCCAGAGCTGCCACCCACTGCTCCTGGCTCTGGGTGACACGTAGGAGGGAGCAGAGCTCACACTGGAGCTCAGCCCAGGCTGGTATGGCCTTAGGAAGACGTACAAAGGCATCTGTTTTCCAGCACCTGACACCCAAAGCCCAGCAGCGAGCCAAAGAGCCACAGGTTGTGAAACAAGTTGAAAAGGAAACGGGTTTGATGCAAAATCTTTCTGCAGCACTGCAGCCTTCACAGCCCTGCCGTGTGCCCCTACAGCAAAGGGGTGTAGAGAGCAGCCCCAGCGCCCCATCCTGAGCCTGTGGCCCTCACTCTGCCCATCCCTGCATCCCTACACAGACCACGAAGGAGGAGGTCGCAGCCCCCCAAGGCATCCATCCTCACCCGCATCCCTGCTCGCAGGTCACGGGGCGCTTGGGGTTGTGCTCGCAGTCGTTGAGGTGAGACATCAGGTTGTCCAGTCGCACTACAGCCGTGCAGCCAAACACAGCATTGTCACAGGTGATCTGCAGCTTGGAGAGCATATTGCGCATAATGCGCGGCACGGGGCGGAGGTGGGCAACCGTCACCACGCTGCGGTCCACGGGGCAGGTCTGCTGCTGGGAGAACCACTGGGTGATGCAGGCATTGCAGAAGGCGTGCTCACAGTGAGGAGCCTGCAGGGAGAGGAGCAGAGGGCTGTGTTACTTGGAGCTGGGGAGGCACAGCTCTGATTCGATCAGTCAAGAAACTGATCGGCTCCATCCTGTTTAAGTCCTGTTCAGTTTCAAGTGAGGCTGCACTCGGGCACTAAGGCATTCAATGTGGCTACAGCTAAATGCTGCTGGGGGAATACAGAACCTGAAGAGCAGAGAATGGACAGGTCCCAGGCTGAGCCCAATCCCACTCAGGCAGCAGCATGCTGGCACCCTGTGGGGCTGCTCAAGCTGCAGAGCACAGGACGTCTGCCAAACCCTGCTGTGCCCCACAGAGCAGTGTGCTGGCACCAGGGCTGTGGGTCACCCGAGCTCTTCCTTACCCACACTGCTGCTAAGAAAACTGGGAACCCGCTGAGCTCACCTCATGCTGTGCAGCCCATCACCTCCCCCAGACTTCCAGAGGTCTGCAGCTGGAAACCTACCTGGACCGGCTCCTCCAGGACCCCGCTGCAGATGGGGCATATAAGGTCTTCATCAACATCCCCCTGAAAGCGTGCTACATCATACCCCATTGCTCATCACCGATGCCAGAACCCTGGGGACAGAAAAAGACACCAGGTCAGGAGCAGTGGCACCGAGCCATGGCTGCAGCGTGGGGAGAAGCCCCATCTGTGTGCTCTGAGCTGCTCCTCCATTCTGCTCTCCCACACGTTGTTACTAATCCTGCTGCAGTTCTCCTGCTTGCTGGTCGTTTTTTTTTTTCCCCCCGTTGCACAGCTCTGTTTGCAGGGTGGAGGGGAAGGCAGCAGAGAGCCTCCAGGGAGCGAGGGCAGTCCTGCAGGCCAGGGTGGGTTCTCAGGTGCTGAGCCCCCTCAGCAGCAGCCTGGAGCACCGCCCAGCAACACCCACTGCTCCGTGCCAGGAGGCAGCACAAAGGGCTCCTTTGATGGAGGAGGGGTGGGGGAAGTCCCTGTGTTGGAGTTTGCAATGCAGATAACAGCATGAGGCTGTGGGGAGAGCCCATCCCGAGTCCTCCCTGCACCTTTGGACAGGTGCTCATCTCCTCAGCTGGGAAGGGGCCCCAGTTCCTTCCCACCTCTTTAGGAGCTGCTCATGCTGCAAATCCCAGCTCCTCCAGCACATCTAGGTTGGGTTAGAACCCACAGGAAGGGCAGACACGGGCATGGAGGGCCCAGCACAGCAGCTCCTCTTGTTGGCACAGCACCAACTTTGCTCTCATCATCATTCACCTCCAAACCTCTGACGTGCAGCATCACCCCTCCAACAAGCAGCAGGGCAAGGCCTGGCACCCGCTCAGCAGTGACAGGAGCAGAGGACAGAACACAAACCCTGACACCCAGCCACACCAGCTGCCAAACAGCATGGCACCAGAACCTCCTCCAGAAGTGTTGCAACACTGGCAACAGTGAGCCCGAGAGCCTCAGGATTCCCCTCATGCCTCAGCCCAGCTGCTTCCCCCTTCTGCAAGAGATCATCTGCAGGGCTTTGCAGCGAGGAGTGCTCTGCTCCTTTTGCAGTGGAGAGCTGAAAGCATCTGTGATGCCTGAGCAAGGAGCTGGAAACCCAACCTCTTCCTGGCACACCCTGAGGTGACACTGAGCTGCGTGCAGGACACCAGATACACTCATACCTGCAGGAGGGCCCTAAGGAGGTATTGCGTGGCTGATGAGAGCCTCCTCAGCACCCACCCACTGAGGTGGAGGTCCTCATGGCTCCCAGGGAGGACAGGAGGGGCTGCATCAGTGCCTGGCACTTTGCAGCTGGGACAGCTCGCAAGAAACCTGTTCTGTGCTCTTAAGAATCTTTTCCTGATTTTATCAGCTTTGTGAGCCAAAAGAAATACAATTAGAACCAGAAAGCAAGAGGGAAAAGGGGGGGGGGAGAAGGGGAGGAAAAACAACACATGGATGCAAGAGGGGCCGTTCTGCAGCAGCTGGAGCCCAGCACAGAGCCAGGACCACAGCGGCCCTGTCGGCTCACACTGTGTGTGTTCTGGGGCAGCGTGTGCTCTGTGGCACCGTGCTCTGATGTCACAGTTCCCTGCTGAGAGTAAATACAGAGCATCTCCCGGGGGCTGCAGGGTTCCGATGCTGCCTCGCTGCTTCCAAGGGGAAAAAACAAGACCTGGGGGCTTAAAGGAGTCACAGTTTGGCAGCAGCTGGCTCACAGCCCCCAGACCAGCACCCACGAGGTGGATTCTGCCCTGGCTCAGGGCAGGAGGCAGCCCCACACAGAGCTCTGTGCTGGAGATCCACAAGAGGAGGATTGGACCCACGCATGTGGCACAGCCCAGAGCTGGCTGACGCCCCTCGCACATCCTGGCTGCCCCACATTTGGGTTCTCCAGACCCACAGCGCCATGAGGGGCAGCCCCAGGACCACACGCATGGCACAGCTCTGACCCACCCTCTGCATCACCCTGTGTTGTGTCTGCATTCAGCTTGCCAGCACACAGGGTGAGCCTGTGTGGTGCTGTGGCTTTCCCAGGAATTCCTGCACAGACCCGATGCTGGCCACAACCAAACTGAAGCTTGATTGATTTACAGCGCTAACGAGCATCTTGGTTCTCACTTCCTAATCCTTCAGAGGGTTACCACCCACTTGAACATCACTGCTGAGCTCACGGCCTTGTTTTTAAACAATGGTCACAGCGTTAATTCATTCCTTCCCCAAACTGTGCTCAGAAATCCAATGGGTTGAGCATGTTCTCTGTGGGCCCATACCCCAAAAATCACTGTCACCCCCCCAAAAGAGCCTCCCTCAGTGGAGGTGCTGCTCCAAAGCCTTTAACCACTTAACGGAGATGCCAACAACAACCAAGAGCCACGCATGGAGTTCCAATGCCTGCTACTTTGATTCAGGAGGCCACGGGCAAAACGCACAGCAAATAATGACTAACATTTAATTAAAAGCCCAAAGCGCAGAGAGCACAAATCAAGCAGCTCTTCCCATCATGACTTTTTCCTCCAGTGCCCATCTTCTCCGACACCAATACGCACCCAAACAGCACCTCCTAAACCCCAAATCCATGTGCCTCAGGTTTGTACAGAGGGATACACAACCAGACAGAGACCTCAGCTGGAAGCTTTGCCCTTTCTGCTGCAGCTTTTGGTGTCCTTCCCACCCTTCCTGCCCCCTGGGAACCCAGGCATGAGCTGAGCAAGGTGCTGAGCACCAGGCTCTGAGCACCCAGGGCCACTCGAGCCCCATCCACCCAGCACAGCCTGCTCTCCAGCACCAACACTGAGCTCTGACACATTCTACAAACTCCAGAGAGCTCTGAGGAATGCAGCACAGCTCGCTGCCACAGCCCTCGGGTCGGGAGGAAAGGGTTCCCTGGAAATGCCAGGGGCAGAAACGCAGCCCTGCTGTGCTTACAGTGATGGGCTCCAAGCAGGACCTGCAACCAAGCAGCTCTACCACACGTTCTATTTTCCAGCCTGTTCCTATGGTGCCAAGGAACCAAGAGACAGAAAGCCTAAAATGAAACTAAGCCGGGCCACATTCCCCCACACAAGACAGGGAAACCAAAGAGCTTCACGCCTTCGTTTGGATGCCAGGGCTGTGTTTATAGCTGCTGAACAACCCCATCCTCACAGCAGAACAGCCAGGATCCCATCCAGCAAGCAGCGGTTCCTGTTTTCCACCAGCAGGAGCCCACACAGGCAGCAGTTGGCCCAGCACCAAGCGACAGATCGGGGCAAAGCAGGAGGGATCCGAGCTGCCCCACTCCCCCACTCCCACCTCCAGCTCCTTGCAAAGCTCTGCTCTGCCTGCAGCAATCCCTGCCAGCTTTCGGGACGCTTTCCCAAAGCACCACGTCTGCCTGCAGCTTTGGTTAGCAAAGCTCTTTCCCCACGAATTGCAGCGAATTTGGCTTTTTGAGAGAGCTCTGGAAATTCCAGCGTCTGCTTTTCTCATTCCAGAGCACCAATTGAAAGCAGGGATGCAGAAATCAGGCAGGGGCAGTTCTGCAATCCAGTTTGGCAGGACTCTGAAACTGGGGACTCTCTGAAATTTAAGGAAGATTTTTCTATTTCCCCGCAGACATTAATTCACAACAAAGGGCCTTTAACAGCATTAGAACAAAACTGTGTTCTTTGCCATGCCCAGACCTCTGCCTTGCAGTCTGAGGTCTCCAAACAGTGATCTGCATAAATCTGCCAGAGCAGAGGCTGAGCAGCTGCAGGAACAGCCGCACTGCCAGCTGCACAGGGACCCTCACAGGGTTTGCACGTGGACCCATAGAGAGCCTGAGGAGCAAAACTGCAGCTTCAAAGACCCCTGCAGCAGGCAATGCTGGGCCTGCATGGAGAGCAACAGCCCTTCGTATGCTGAGACCCCACGTGTGTGGGAAGAAACCCACGGCCTGCACACAGATATGGGAAAATAGAATCGTATCATAGACTGGCCTGGGTTGAAAAGGAGCACACTGCTCACCCAGCTCCAACCCCCTGCTGTGTGCAGGTCGCCAACCAGCAGCCCAGGCTGCCCAGAGCCACATCCAGCCTGGCCTTGAATGCCTGCAGGGATGGGGCATCCACAGCCTCCTTGGGCAACCTGTTCCAGTGCCTCACCACCCTCTGGCTGAAAAACTTCCTCCTCATATCCAACCTAAACCTCCCCTGGCTCAGTTTAAAGCCGTTCCCCCTTGTCCCATCACCATCCACCCTCACAAACAGCCATTCCCCTCCTGTTTACAAGCTCCCTTCAAGTACTGGAAGGCCACAATGAGGCGAGCCTTCTCTTTTCCAGGCTAAACAAGCCCAACCCTCAACCTTTCCCCATAAGAGAAGTAAAGAAAAGCTTTGGGCTGCTTTACCTTCCGTGGCAGAATTCCTCCCTGAGCGGCGCAGAGGCAGGGCTGGCGCTGGGTCACTCTTTCCAGGGAGGCTCTCCCAGTGGCCCATCTTTCCCCCTTCCTCCTCTCACAACACAAACATCGCTCTGCGAGGGCCGTGAGCCGCTGCCAACGGAGAGCTGGGAGGCCCGAGGGATCTGAGAGCAGGGGAGAAAAGCAGGAGGGGAAAGTGAGGAGGGCAGGGAGAGGCGCCGCGCAGGGCCGTGCCCAGCCCTGCCCCCCCCGGGACGAAACCCCTCCGCGCATCACCGCCGTGCGGAGCCCGGCTGCCGCCGGTGACTCTCATCCTTCTGGTTACGCAACCTCGCTAAAAATAGCTCTCCCCAAACGCGATTTCCGACTCAAATCCAAGCGTTTCTCGCAGCGCCGCGGGGAGCGGACGGAACCGCCAGGAACGAAGGAGCCGCCGGTGCCGGGCAGCCCCACGTCGGGGGGCGGCGGGACGCCACGAGCGGCCCATCCCCCTCCCGGACGCCCTCAGGCCCTTCGTGCCGAGCGCGGCCCCCGGCAGCGCCTCCGCCACGGCACCGAGCGCCGCTCCGACAGCCCGACGGGACCCCGGGACCGGGAGCGGCCCCACGAGGCCGCGGGGCCCAACCCGGGCCGGGCCTCATCGCCGGAGCTCCGCCGCTCCGCCCCGATCTCCCCCCGCCCCGACCCCCAGCCGCAGCCCCGCGCTCACCTCCTGCCCCCGCCCGGCCCCGGCGCGCTGCTACGCGACCCCCGCCCCGCCGGAAGCTGCCGCCCCGCTGCGGACCGGAAGCGACGCTCCGAGCGCTGAACTCGATGGTCGCGCTGGGAATGAGCGCGGGCGCTGGGCGGGGCAAAGGCGGGACGACCCAGAGATCCGCGCCCCCTCGTCCCGCCCGCCCAGCGCCGCTATTGGTCGAAAGCGTGGGTCGTTCGCAGCGCGCCGCGCGCTGATTGGCTGCGACCCGCGGCGGCGGGGTCACTTCCGGGAATGCCCGCGGCGGCGGCGCTCCGGCAGGTCAGCGGGCGGGGGGGGGCGAGCCGCGCGGGGTGGCGGGGCGGGGCGAGAGCGCCCCCTGGCGGTGGGGTGGATGGGCGGAGGAGGCCCGGTGCCGCCATCCCCGGAGCCACAGCGCCGGAGCCCGGCGGTCCCGGCCCAGCC